GGCGTAGATGCGACGTAGCTCGCGCGCGCTTCGAGAGAAGGAAAATCGGTACGATAGAGCCATTAAATGGCCGCATGCAAACACACACATACGCGCGATTATCCTTGCGCAACGCGGGGACATCAATAAAAATCTAAGATTAGGTCGTCCTCCTCGATCCAATTAATGCCGTCAGTCTTCATAGGGAGCGGAAGATTCGATTTAACGACGTTCGCCGTGCCGTGGCAGCGTGATGATTTTATTCTCCATGGAAAAAGAGTGTGAAACTTTACGAGTGTCGAAGATGATACAACGTAATCGCGTCATATCAACAAGAGTGAAATCAATAGATATAATGTTTGAATTTTTAGAAAGAATGAAAATAAAGGTTCAATAGACTATACGGAAAGAATAATTTTGCTGACAAATCTAAAAAAATTTGAGACAGAATTATTTATATTTTCAAAATTATTATGTACGAATTGGTTGCTAGATAAAAAATTTTTGCAATATTATTATCACATTTAAGCGTCCCACATAATAATTCCGATAGTCTAATAATTTTTTTGAATTAATAGTTTTGCCGATAAATTTGATGCTAAAAATTTGACTAGCTATAGAGCTAAAAATAATTTTATTGGATTTTCGAAATTATACGATATATCTTTGTACGATGTTCGAATTGATTGCTAAAAGATAAAAAATTTTTAGTATTATATTTAAGCGTCCTACATAATAATTCTGATGATCAAACAAGATTATTTTCAGATCTGTAGCTAGCCAAATTTTTAGATTTGCCAGCAAAACTGTCCTCTGCGCACAGAAAATCTAGAAAAAATGATTTTATTAAAGAATCTGAAAAAATTTGATCAGATACAGATTTGAAAAGAATTTTATCAAATTTAAAATAATTATGTGATATACTTAATGATATACTTAATGTTAATACTGCAAAAGTTTTTCATACTCTAACAATTAATTTGAATAATTATTTTAATGTTCCAATAAAATTATTTTCCGATCTATGTCTTTTTTAGATAACACAACTGATTTTTCTCGCTTAAGATATTAATACATTAATTATTACGATTAGACTTGTATGTTGAACGTGACGTAAGATGTCAGAGATAACGCGGAAACAGTTCGCGCGCGATAAAAGTTCGATTGTGTCTAATCCCTGATATCGCGCACCAATCATTTAAATGAAGAATTAAATTTCTCACTATCATGCGACTATTACTTGATATAACTTGATTATTCAGCCATTATGGACATCTCTCGGGACGTTCCTCCGGGAGGTTACACATAAACTGGAAAAAGTTCTCCTCGGGAGAAGTCGCGGGCCAGAGACGGATTACGCGAGTTACATACGGAACATCCCATCAGATCCTCAGCTCCAAGTTTATGGTTGGCGTCTACTTTCCTCGCCCTTCCTTTAAACCGCGATAGACGCGAGGACTTCGATGCGGAAAAAGACAAGATGATGCACGGAGTGCATGCGACAGGAATGGATCTATCGATCGCAACTCGGTACCGAGGACACCAAGGATATAATCGAGGGAGGGATTCGCGTAGTTCGCATTTTCGGTAAATTTACCATTTTATAGCTGCCGTAGTCCGTGGGGTAGACAAACATGTTGCGAGGACGTGTGTGTGTGTGCGCACGTAGATCCGACGATACACCGACTCCGTCCTCGCGTACGGGTCACGTCATACACAGGACGAGATGCACCACCACAAAGGCACCGTTGATCCGCCGACGAGCGGAAGAATTGTCGCGTGAGCGAGAGAAAGATGAAGCGGAAGAAGAGGAGTAGTCGGCCAAGTAGAGAGAACCGAGAAGAAGACAGCTAGCTATCGCGCTCGCTACAACCCCTCCGTCCCAATTTCTCTTATCCTTCTCTCTCTCTCTCTCTCT